GCCCAGCTGTCTGGGGGGGTGGGATGGGGGGGGCAGAGGGGCACTTCCTCCTCAGGGCACACAGCAGCTTCGGCCACTTTCTGCAGAACTTCCTGCTCCCACCACTATTATCTCATTTCACTTTATTGTCACTAAAAAGTCCAAGTGAAATAAGGAACCTGGGGCTGAGAGGTTCCGTGACTTTCCAAGTTACAAAGTCAAAAGGGTCAGAGTCAGGAAGGAACTCAAGTCTGTCTTTCCTCTTTTTATTATTATTAACTAGAGGTCTGGTGCACAAAATTCGTGCACGGGGGTGGGGTGTCCCTCAGCCCAGCCTGCACCCTTTCCAATCTGGGACCCCTCGAGGGATGTCCGACTGCCCGTTAGGCCCGATCCCACCTAAACGGGCAGTTGGACATCCCTCTCACAATCCAGGACTGCTGGCTTCCAACCGCTCACCTGCCTGCCTGCCTGATCGCCCCTAACCACTCGCCTGCCTGCCTGATCACCCTTAACCACCTCTGCCTAGGCCCCCACCACTGTGGCTTCATCCAGAATGACATCTCGAAGGTTGTTCAGCTGTCCGGTCTAATTAGCATATTACACTTTTATTATTGTAGATTATTTTTTATTATTATTATCACCATCATCATCATCATCATTATTGTGGTCAAAACATAACATTTACCCTCCTGACCATTGTAAGTGTCCAGGTCAGTGGTGTTGAGTGTAGTCACATGGCTGTGGGTCTGATCCAGAACTTTTCATCCGGCAAATACAGACTCTAAACTGGACCCAGCCGGTGTGGCTCAGTGAATAGAGCATCCGCCTGTGGACTGAAGGGCCCCGGGTTCGATTCCTGGTCAGGGCACATGCCGGGGTTGTGGCTCGATCCCCAGTGTGGGGGGTGCAGGAGGCAGCCGGTCAGTGAGTCTCTCTCATCATTGATGTTTCTCTCTCTCTCTCCCTCTCCCCTCCTCTCTGAGATCAATAAATATATATTTAAAACAAACAAACCAAAAAAACCCTCTAAACTCGCTAATGGCTCCCCTGTCCCTCTCTCTCCAGCCCCGGGAAACCACCATTTTGCTTCCGTTTCTATGAATTTGGCTACCCCAGGTGCCTCGTATGAGCGAAATCACAGGGTGCTCATCGTTGTGTCGGGTTTATTTCACTGAGCGATTCCTCCAGGGCCCCGCCTGCTGCCGTCTGTGATGGGGGAACGTTCCGTGGTGGGTGGACCACACTGTGTGTCCACTCCCCTGCGGTGACGTCGGAGTTGCCCCCCCTCCTGGCTGCTGTGATGACGCACACGGGTGTGCAGGCAGCTCCTGGGGACGCTGCTTCCCTTCCTTGGGGTGAAAACCCAGGTTTCCTGACGTCTGGGCGGCTGCTTCAGGCTCAGGGAGACGGGGGGACGCTCAGCACGGAGCCCGGCTCCACGTGGGGCGAGCAAATGACAGGGAGCACGAAGGAAA